TGACGAGGAGAGCCGCGGGGTAACTTGTTTACGCGCTCGCGAATTACGTGCATACGATGGCCTGAAAAAGGAGCTTGAGAATATTGCCGAAGCTTCGTCGATCGCCGGGCCCAGGTAATAACGGTATACATACATTCCACACGTGCACACGCGCCTTTGACCACGCTACGACACGATAAAATAAGAACAGTGCGCGGTGATAAGAAGTAGTCATGCGCGTTGACCGAAGCTGCTTTTAAAATACGAGTTGATAAGAGCAGAACTGATATTACAGCAATTCCTTGTGCGTGCACAGCGAGACCATATTCTACGTTCGAAATACGATTGGAGACATTTGTCTCCAACAAAGTGAGCGACAAAAATTCAACGCGCTCCAACGCGAAGGGAGCTCGCGATTTCCGCGACTCCTCGCAACAGCGTGCGTAGCGAAATGCTCTGTCGCATTTGCTGAAATATCGCATGAATGCGAAACTTCGGGGGGGGGGGAGGGGGAGTTTCTAGACAACAACCGTTTTCGACAACAACGTCAATAACAAGTCCGCCCGGAGTTGGCGAGAAAAGTTCTCTTAATTCGCCTCCAAGTTCCGCGATTCAGCCGTACGCGTGTGTACAGTATCCAGGTGTTGCAGCTCGCCAGCTCTCCCGCAGGTACCCCGAAAAGTTTCGAGGGGGGGGGATCCCGGGGTCCTGATTCTCTCGACGAGTTCATTCGAGACAGACGAGTCGTTGCGAAAATGGTGGGTGGAACGGGGTGAGAGAGGGAGAGAACTCGGCGTTACCAGAACGAAGCCGTAGAATCGCGCGTAAGAGACGTCGAAGGGGCGGAGAATCCTACCCTACGCACTGGTGTACGACATCTCGATCGATATCAACGCAGGCTTTGTCCCTGGGACTAGGTTCTTGAATTCGTTCGCGAGTGAAACGTATGTGCGAATTACAGAAAAGTCGCGAGTCGATCGGCTAAAAAGCCGTGCGATAACCGATCGACCTGCAACTTTTCTGCAAGAGCAGAATTTGCGCGGGGGCGTACGTTTCTCTCGCGAACAAATTCAAGAATCTAGCCCCTGGGCAAGAGTCACGCCGGATAGACGAATCGACTTCCCCCGCTTGCAAAGTGCGACGGAGATAAGATACCGACAACGAGAATCTTGAAGAGCGCGACGAATCCGAGATCGACATTGCCTCGAGATCCCGTAACGAATCTGTTTTTTTTTAAGTTTACCCTTTTGTGGGAACGTCTTTCAACCGTTAGGTTATATCAGCGTGATATTTCTAGAAATTCCTGGAAATTCATGCTTAAATCTTGATTAAACACTGAATTCAACACTAACACGGAGAGAATTTTCTTTTAAAATTTACCCTGGAAATTATGTAACCGTGGGACAACATGGCATTTTGAAGAACTTTGTGAGCTTCTTGAAATTTCACCACACATTTTACCAGTAAAATGTACAGAAATTTCTTAATCGTGGGACAACATGGCATTTCGAAGAACTTTATGAGCTTCTTGAAATTTCACCATACATTTTGCTAGTAAAATGTATACCAAATGTATAATTACTGGCAAAAATTATGATGAAATTTCAAAAAACTCACAAAATCCTTCAAAATGCCATGTTGTCCCACGATTACATGGTTTTCAGAATAAATTTAAAAAAAAATTCCCTCCGTGTAGGCGCTTAGACTCCATCAAGCGCTGCATTTTTGAAATCTTCCTTAACAGGAAAATGTGCGGGACGAGGGCCGAATCGAGGACTCTACCATTAACTAATCCACTCGTGCCGTAATGAATCCGCGCGAACCTCGGAACGAAGCAGCCGTAGACGCAGCCACATCGCTTGAGGAGGAATTTTAATCGATCGAGCGCTCAATAAAAAAGATATTTACTTAGCATAAAGAAACGATGGAGGAGAAAAACTTTTGCGTCATTGCGCCAAAGGACGACGGGATTTTTCGGCACCGCGCGAGGAGAAAAGAAGTCGGACGAGTCGCGCCGTAGACGCGTCACTCATACACACATACACGCGCGCGCGCGCAATTCGTTGAAAGTATCAAGAGCAATGTGAGAACAGAAGTCACGTTCCGCGCGATTATCACAGCCGGCTCGAAAGTGTTCCGAGCCGTAATCCGTACCTACGTAACGTTATAGCAGGCTATCGGTGAAATCCGATCGCGGTGTATTAATTACGCACCGGCGCGAGTTTTATTTCCTCTTCGTTCTTTTTTTTTTATTTAATATCAGCCGACTCGGCGAAAAATAGAGTGCGATAAAATGCCATTCCAGCCGCGCGATCGCGACGTGCATGCGTCACCGGCGACGATAACGTACGCCGAAGAGACGGCGGGACGGTGAATTATTCCCGCTGCGGGAAAATTCATCTTCGTTTGCGCGTGCGAGGAACCTCTGGACGCCGGTGAAAATAATTAGCCGGCCGCGACGACATCGGTGGATGATGATATAATGAAAAGCGAGTCTGCCGTGTATCCTGACGAGCGATGGGAAGTTTCCCATGGTCTCGCGAAAGGGTCGATATTATCTTCCATTGTACGGAGACCCGCGTGCGTTCGAAGCGAGGAAGCAATCGCCGACCGAGATTACAAGACCGCAGAATCAATCGCGTTAGCAAATCGAGCGGAGATAACGAGACGGACCTGTCGGAAACTCGGGGGGGGGGGGGGTCCCGGGTGATTAATCGAACGTCTCGCTTTCCTCGACCTGATCGCGGGGGAGAACGTAAACACGTGTAACGTGACGAGCGGGTATCGCGGCGTGTATCCGCCGGGAGATGAAGGAATGCGTTCTCTCTTATCAAAATTGACAGACAACGCCGACGAGCTGAGGCTCGTCGATGGTTAGTTATGTTAGGCCCGGTCTACAATGAGTCGTTAGTCGTTAGTCAGAAGTCGCAGCTATATGTTGATCCTTTTCCTTTCTGGGCGGAAGAAAAAGGACCGACATACAGTTCCGACTTCTGACTAACGACTAACGACTCATTGTAGACCGGGCCTTAGAGTAACGGCTGCGTGACGTGCGTACGAACCTAACGCCGGATAAGATCCTAAAACAGACGCGGCGGAGTCTCGCGACGAAATTCATCTTCGCGGAGTGACTCGCGCGATGACAGACCGCGCGTGTGAAATTACGTAAAAGATACAGCCGGCGGCGTACAATTGCGAGCGGTAATATATATATATATATATATATATATATATATATATATATATATATATATATGCTGTTCGAATTAGGCATCATCGCGTCAACTTCCGAATCAACGAACTCTGTTGTCGCGAACTGGAGACGCCGATCCCACGCTATCGAGCGCGACATCTTTCCGTGAGCGGAGTGCGAGCGGAAGGACTTTAAACGTCGCATTCTGCGGATCCATTTAAAGCCACACTTTGCCAAGTGAGATTCACCAAATTACGTCCGCGCGAGGCCAATTCTTGTCGAATGCTAAGCATCTCCGAACGAGAGAGAGAGAGGGGGGGGAGGGAGAGTGACGTCGGTTCGCGGCGGAGAGAGAGCGAGGGGCGGGACGGCCGGGGAGGGAGCGGG